TTGCAAAAGGATGAATAGCTAATTGTGTTGATCTAAGTTAGTGATGCAGATATGAAAAAAGGCAATTTGTGAATAAGATGTATTAGCACAAAATGTATGCATTTCAAAGGAAAAATGAGCACAGCTAATGGGCAGACTGTTCTTTCAAAGGTCGTTAAAAGCAGCTGTTTTTTAGTAATTATGTGCAGTTTAATGAGCTAATCTTTGTTGACCATTGCTGTTGTGCATTCCATACAAGCAGGTTAAAGAATTTATTTTTAATTGAAGCAGGAGTTGAATACATTGAATTTAGGAGTGACCTATCAAAAAAAATGGGAAAGATTTGAGGTAATCAGTTTCTTCTTTAATAAGAGGGGAAGAGGTCTCTAGGAGGAAAAACATTTGACCTTGCAAATGTTTTTCTTAGTGTTTTCTTACACTGATGATAGGCTGTACTTCCCTCTTTGCCAGAAGATGTTAAAAAAGGCCCAAAAAATCCTATGAACTTACACAGCTTCCCGTGAGTCATTTGTATCTGGAAAGTTGAACTTGTTTTCTTCACTCAGAGACAAGGGAGTTGAACTGTGTGCTTAGGCATATCACAGCTTAGGTGCAGTCCATGTACTTGTTAAAATCAGGAAACCAAATACCTCCTTCAGCTGTCATACATACAGAGTGGAGAGCTGTAGATAAGCCTCTGTGCACTTTATGGCTAGAAAAAGGGTGCAAGAGGAAAGCTACAGTGACATTAACCACAAACAACTGCAATAGACTGCTTATCTTTGTGGATTTTTATATTAGCTGTTGGCATTCATTTTACAAATATGGTATTCACTCCAAATGTTTTTAAAATGTGTTTTAGAAGAGAAAGCAATTGTAAGTTGAAAACATCACATTCCTGTTTAAATCCTTAGTAGGTGGACTCCAGGCAAGCCAGCTGGTCTAGAATTCTAAAACTGGGAATGAAAGGGACATGAAAGCTCAATATCCAGGTTTTCATAAATCCCTACCAAAACCAAGATTTGAGCCTTATTTTATTGTATTTTTAGAGAAGGAGGAGAGAATAGGTCATGCTATGCAACAACAGGTGATAGGAGGGCAGAGCTCTGGAGTGAACTGGTAAGAAAGCAGGTTCTGGGGCAGGATTTACAAGAAGAGCATGCTGGACCAGGCCCTGTGGGAAATACAGAGTGGCAGCAATGCTAACTTGGGAGCAGCAGCCCCTTCCTCAGGTCCATTTCTACCAGTGGAAGAGCTGCTGGTAATTTGTCCAACTCACCCAACCACACACAAAAAATCCCTTTGAGAGAACAAAAAATGGGATCCAGCTTCTGACATCAGCATTGCAGTAGTTCCACATCCTTGAAATACTAAGAACTTGTACATTGTATGAGTATGGAGGGTTATTTGTTTTGTTTGTTTGGGTTTTTTTTCCCTAGTAAGTCCCTCAAAAAAAATGAGGTTCTTCAGGAAATAAATGAGACTTCTCAAGGCTGTTTAAAATGTAGAATGCCTGAGAGGGCATTTGGGGACATGTTAGGGGGCATCTGGTCAACATTTGAACAGATAATCTGCCAAAGGAAAACACAAGTGTTTCTTGATGACAAAATCACAGAGCTAGGAAGAAAGTCTTCACATGAGAGTCTGACTAATAGGCTTCAGAGTCATGCAGAAAAATACTAACCTGCATCACACAGATGGCTTTAAATTATTCTGACTTTTTCAGAACAGGGACCTGGGAGTCATTTTGCATAGTTACAAGACATAGGATCAGTGGTCTTTGACAGCCAAAAGGCAAGTAGAACATTAACAATTCTCAGGGAAAAAATAGATTTAGACTACACAGCAATTCAAAGGCATGCCCTCATTTTGAGTATTATGGTGCTTCCAGTGCATCTCAGAAACTGCAACACACTGACACAAACAGGAGAAAGAAAAATTAAAAAAGAATGATCAGAAATACAAAGTTGTTTCATCACAAGAGATTATGTAACTCACTTTCCAGGCTGAAAACATCTCAAGGTGAGGAATACTATGTCTGTCAAAGAGTGAAAGATGAATAGGGAGCAAGTAATTGCTGGTTTTGTAAAATCAATCCTTATCAACACTCAGTGAAATCAGATTTAAACCAAACAGAAAAGAAATTCTTCTTCACACCACACAATCCCATCAGGGGCATTCTTGCCACAGGATCTGGTAGGAGCAAAGAAAACAGCTTCAAGAGACATGACCTACACAGAGACTTGGCTGCAAAACATCTGCATTTGTGTCATCCAAATGCACCCCTTGTGTCAGGAAATTGAGCAGCTGTGACCAGTGAAGGACCACTCCAGTGAAGATCTCCTTCTAGAAGGATCACTTGCCAGTGTGGGAGACAGGATGACCACCATGATGATTCTTATCTTCTTGCAGCTATTGAAAAACCAAGTTAAGAGGCTTGCCAAATGAACTAAACCCCAGGTAGGTCATATCTAGAAATGGAGACTGAAAGATCTTCACGTGTAGAAAGGACAAGATTCATGATTCCTGAGAAAATGCACCTTTAAATTATTTTTGTTACAGTATAGTGACTTCCTGTGCAGTGAAGGGTGAATAAGAACTAAGGGTGGTAATGGATGCTTTTCCCATTGTCTTTGGCATTCAGATTGTTTGAGAGCAATGGCACTTCCAACTCCTTGCATAGAAAAACCCCACTTACCCAAACTTTGAAATGTTTCTTCTCACCTATGAGCGTTTTGAGCTTTCTGCAGCCTGTGCTCAGCAAGCTCAGGCATCTCAGAACAAGAGATCTTTAATTCTTCATCCATCATTGATGTTTAGGGATTGGCCACTGCAACCAAAGTCATCCTTACCCGAATCAGTTGCACTTTTAAAAAATGCTAGTTATCCTAAAATAGTTAAGATTAACAATTGTATTCAAAGTACAAAATTAAGCCAAACAAAATTATTTATTTTGGCATTAGATTTATATAGAAACTAGCTTCATATATAAAATAAAAATAGAATGTACTAGAAATGTGCTTCCCCTGTGGGTTAGTGGAAGTAGAAAAGAATGTGTATCATTCTGTGTAAGGAATAAATTAAAAATTTCAGGGTTTATAAGCTGTTCGTGCAAGATCTCAGATCCTGAAAATGGAGTCCTTTGTCATCAGTGAGCAACTGGAAAAACAGCAACACAAAGGTTATATGCTATGAGTTTTTAATCCTGAGTAATTTACCTCAAGTTCTGGCAAACTTGAGGTAAATTATCTCATCTCCACTTCTTTTTCATCTTAAGATTTTTTTCTCTTTTCAAGGATAAGTGAATATTCTATTTGATTGCATATCCATTGTATCAGATGATTGCATAGCCTCTTTATCATATATCCTTTGTTTGCTTACTGCAGCATCACATTATGAGAGTAGCTCATACCAGGCTCTTGATTTTTAGTTCTGAAAGTATAAACTCGAGGCAGGTGTGTGTCCAGGCCTGCACTGGCTGTGCTGAACCACCACAAACCCAGGGCAAGGGTCTGAAGTGGAAATGGCATGCAAATTGTCCCACCTGTTTGCCTAGAGATTAACATCCAAGGATTTGTGGTCTTCTGCTAAGAACTTAATAGGAAACTAAACTGCAAAAAGTAAAAGGATATTTTTAGACCCCGTGTTTCATGTAAAAGATTACAGAGAATTTATTCTGGTTGTGAGTTAGGAAGACTGAGCAGCAAGCAAAGCTTTCTTCTGGCAGGTCTGGTGTGTTTGTGGGGCCAAGGAACTGAGCTGGACATGCCTCCTGCAGCTGGCAAGGTCCTCACTCAGGGCCACAAACAAGAGTCCCCCATGAGGAGAACAAAGAGGTCTTTCAGCTTCCAGCAAACAGTGGACAAGTGAGGATTTCTTCTTGAAGCTCAAGGAGGCAAAAAATTATGGGTTCAATCTGGAATATTAATGATTTCCCCAGGTTTCCACAAATCTGCTCAGCTTTCATTAATCAAATCAAATCAAATCAAATCACTTTTCAGTTATACCTTTCCATGTAGCTGTGCTCCAAACAGTCAGTAGGGAAAAAGCCCTGCAAAGGTCAGACTAGTACCTACTTGGGGCTCTAAACATGCCTACTAATTTGGGGAAACACAGAAACATTCAGGACCAGGATTTTTGGTAGCATTACCAGCTATAAAAGAGCTGAGGCACATTTTTAGAACCCTCTTCTCTCTGTTCATGTATGTTAGTAACAACAAACTTGGAGCTACCAGCTCCTTTAAACTGGCCTGCTTATTTTTAAGTTTGAAGAAACTGTGAAAACAATTATTTTACAGGGGTTTTTTTAGGAATGTTCTTTGTGAGGCATTCAGACTCCTTTCCTTGTGTCTGATTTAAGGTATAAAAAGTTACTTTTTTAATTTGAGGAAGAAAATAAAATTTACCTAACCGCACAATAAACATTGAGTTACTTCTCAATTATCAACAAATATACAGGTATGATGGACCACAGAAAAACTTCAAGTATTTTTTAACACCATTGTTCTATACATCTAGTAACATTGCTCCCAGCAACAGTAACCCTGCTGTCAGCTCCAAGACACTTGGTTTCAGCTAAAAATTCCCAAAAGTCATGGCAGTGCAGTATGAGCAAGCTACTGATGGGTGACTGAGTAGCTGCTATGAAACCATGAGTGTAAAGACCCACTATGAAACAAGGGGGTACTAATGGAAATATGCAGGAAAAGGGAAGTAAATTGAATTCCCTTGGCTGTTTAGTGAATCAGGGGCTCAATGTACACATTGTCACAGCAAACTGAATGTGACCCAACTTTGATGAAACATCAGTTCCCAATACCCTACTAAATTAACAGCTATGATTGGGAACTGTCCTGTATTTAATGTGTACCAAGGGTGTGAAATCAAAAGAATTTAAAATTGGTTGACAACAAACCAAACTTGTTCAAGTACAAAAGAAAGTATGTCCTCTGAGAGTAACTAGATGCAATAGAATAAAAGCTTTATATTCAGTTTAAAAATGCTATCAATACAGAACAACATTAATTGACATGCCTTTTATTTTCTCCTTTAAGAAAGGAAGAAAAATTCTGATACAATTTATATAAAATACTGTGCTTGTCCACCCAAAAATATGAATGTGAGGCAAGACACTTTGCAGGAAGGCACCATCACAGGAATCTGCTCTATTATTATCATCTCAATAGTCTACCTCCTATTGCATAACTGACAACTAAGAAACTGTGAATATTTTCATGATAAAACTAATCAGCTTTGGAATAGCACACTGAAAACCACAGCAATCCAATTCTGGCAGACTGTGTATTTTCAGAGTTCACTCCTAACAGCCATGAGAAGCACTCTACAAGGTAAATTTCTGATACAACTAAAAGATTATCCAATTAGTGCATTAATTTTTTTTAGGAGATGAGCTTTTCTGAGAGCAATCTTCCTGGTTTATTTTAAGTAGTATTTGGCTCTTTAAACACCTCCTGTTCCCACTTCTTCCTCCTCATTTGTGCCATTTGCTGCAAGTCCACTAAATCAATAAGGTCTTTGAGAATGTTCAGCTTGGTAGGCGTGTTGTTTTTCAGCTCCAACACAGATTTCAGGAAGGCTTTTATGCTATCAACTTCATCATGGTTTTTGCTGCCTTATACCCCAAACCCCCAAATAAACACAATGCTGGGAGATGAAACTGCACAGGTGAGAAGATGAAAATCCCTAAGTGAAAGCAACATGTTCAGAGACAGAGCAGGTGATGCAAACACCAGGAAAAACTCTTCAGTTTTGCCAATGTAGCTCTTCTCTTACAGTTGATAATAACAAAATATTCCAAATATTCCATTGATTGGGATCTCTTCTCCATAAACATGGTGGTTTTGTCATGACTTGGAAAAATTGAGAAATAAGGTCAAATATACAGAGCCTAACATTAACAGTCAATATATCATTCAAGGTTTTACCAAAGCTTGTCATGTTTAGCCTTCAATACGTGCAGTTTCATTCAATTATTTTCTTCAGAAATGACTGTCTGTAGAAACCTGTTGTGGGCAAGCAAAGTATCAGCCTAAAAATAGAGTTGGCACCATGAAACACTTTTGAAAAAGTTATGGTTATTTCAGTGTCTGGCTCAGCTCTTCAGCCCTTTTCCTCTCAACAGTTTAGCAGTATTCCTCACGTTACAAACCAAGTATGAGGACAATTTCAAGTTCCCAGCATATCACTTGCAGACAAAACAAGGTGAGAGGTTGAGTTCTACAGGTAACTTTTAATGCAAGTCTTGAAAATTTGAGAAGATTCTGATTTGTTCCCTTCTCAATACATAGGATTGCATTTATTTACATGTATTTTACCTTATGCCATATGTTCATATTACCAGTTACCTTTCTCATTCTTAAACAACAGCACAAATGGTTTACAGTTATGACACCTAACAGTAGCCTTGTTTTTCATTTATGCAAAATTAAAAAAAATTCAGCATAAATACAATTTTTAAATTTTCTGAGAATTCAGGATTTTTTCCTCATTTATTAATAGTTGGGTCTGGCAGAGCACACCAAAGGTGCTGATACTCATGACTAATCTAGATGAAGTTCAAGTTAGCTGACAGGAGGTAATTTTCTTCAGTTCTTCATTTGACTCTTACTCATCCCAGGTATCTCCATATTTATTTACTTTAACTAAAGAAAAAAGAAAAAAAACAAAAGTAGTCATGTGACAGTTTAACTGCTGAAGTTTATAATATACAGTGCCAAAAAGTATAATGAAGTGCACTGTCATCTGAAGTGGTGTGTGGGGAGAGAGTCAGTCACAGCACCACAGATACATAATTAAAGCTACTTTTGAATAAATGGGGAGAAGAGTTTGCTAATCACTTTACCTTAATGAATCAATATTCAATCAGGAGGCCTACTGTGCTAATTCCTGCTCTACAGAATTTGTAATTGCTTTAAAACAAATGTAACACGAGAATGAAACAAAGACAATTGGAGGAAACAGGCAGGGAATGTTACAATAAATAATGAGGCCACATAATCTGGTTACATGCACAGTTGGATGTATTCGGGATAGTTAAAAACACATTCAAAGACAAACAGAAATCAGTAATCCCGACTAGGAAACTACTCAGCCATTATTATTTGGCAGCTTCCTTTAGCACAGGATTGAGTCAGAGAGGAAAAAACCCAGGGCAGTGGTCTAACGGCTTCGCTCAGAGAGCGCCACTGTAACTGAACACCGACCAGAAAGTGAAAATGGGCTCTCCTGAGAGTGAGCTGCAAAGTCCTCTGTAATTGACTGCCATGACTGAAAAGGTTAAGAATGGCTCCATTTGATCCAGTAGGAATGCCGACAGTAGTCAGGCACCCCTTTATAAATCCACTTGCAAGTTAATAATTAAGCTGACTGTTACTAACTATGCAGCAGAACAAGTGGAATGGAGCAAAACACCTGGTCCTTGTCTCTGTGAGCTACCAGCAAACTGAGCATAATGTCCTGACAAATCTCTTTGGAGTGACTGATATTGCAGTGAGACACAATGAGAAGCTCTCCCAAAGCAGGATTTGATTTCCATTTCTATTACCCACAGCAGCTGAACAGGCTGCACTCATTCCCTGGAAAATGGGCCAGCCTCGATCACTATGCGGACGCACGTATTGGTGCCACTGCAGGGAAGGGAGAAGGCACTGGCAGATGGAAGTTAGGGATTGCTTAAAGCTGCTTCAGACATGCTTTAGTTTCCCTTCTGCCCTTGCAAGGAAGGTTCTGTTTGCTAGGGACTCAGAGATAAGAGAATGAACCAAGGGCAGTGACTCAACAAGCACACAGCAAGTAACGTGTCCAGTTTGACACAAGAAACTAAATCAGATCTCAGTCCACAATATCAGTGTAATCCCTGAACTGCAGATTTAAATGTACTTGCACGTGCAAACCATTCCTCTTTTTCCCTAAAAATGTGAAGAGTTACTTTAAAAAGTCTATTAACAAATCTCACACAGTGCTCAGTTTTCTTCTCAAAGCTCAAGTACAGCCTTCAAACACAGAACCCAGAAATATAAAAGAAAGAATGCAATATTTGATCAACATTTTATAGAGGTCTTTTACATACCTCAAATAACTAAAGTAAGAAATATACATTCTCATTTTACAGCCACATCTGCCATAGAATATGGCATGGTTTTCAGAATGCTGCTTAACATTTCTTTCTATGGCTCACAAGTGCCATTTCTAGGCTTTCTACTTGTGGAGAAGTATCTTGAGAAAGAAACATTGTGTAAATCCACAAAGTGTCAGCCAATGGAATTGAAAAGCAATCTGAAACCACAGCTTCAATAACTTTTTCATGTCTCATTTGGCACAGTCACATGATAAGAGAAAGCCTTTTATCCTTGAAAAAACAGTTGAAAATCATTATACAAAAATTGTTTATAATTTTTCTTTCAAGACTCCAGATCTGTCCAAAGATAGATGACCTGCAGAAAGTAATTCACAAGCATCAAAGAGACTGACACTCTTAAGCAACACTATTCCAGAGTTGGTGTTACTGCTTCAGAAGGTTTTGTTTCAATACACTCTTCTATACTTACTACCACCCACTATGCCCAATAGGAGACAACAGCTGTTCCTAGAAGTCTTGTTGCAACATGGCTGACAAGACTGGGCAGTGCACACAAACCCAAACAATTTGAGGTGACTGACTAGTCCCTCAGCATATTCAATGGTAAAACTTTCCTCCAGCTACAATTGTTTTTACAGATGCCACATTAAATTTTAAAAGTTCTAGAGCGAGTAATTGAATATTAATTGCTTCTGTGTCTCCTTTTCAAAAAATTGATTGAGTCAAAAAGTTGTCTGAATGACATCTTGCTCTTCAGGACATGGCATTCTTATTTTGCTCTGTAGAGTTTTCTTTTTCACTGTGAAAACAAATCTCAATATTGCTGCCAAACACCATTTCCTTCCTCTGGGTTTTAATGTAGAAAATGAACCTTTACAAACAATGCCTCTATAGAAATTCCCTAATTCCACATGAAACTATTCATAAAAGTAAATACCCTCCCCTTCAAACCATCGGCCATGTGCTCTATTTTGAGAGAACAATGCTATCTAAAACACAAGCCTCTCTCCCATAGCTCTTTGGTATAGCTCTGAGCTCAGAGAATTCTTTGTTGAAAGAGGTTGCTCAATATACTCAATGAAGCAAAACTTATGAGCTTTTCAGTCTGGCACCAAGCAATATGGCTAGAGAAAATGAATTACAATTTTCTATGGGGTGACCAAAATTTTCGAAAAAATAATTAATCTGCAACAGGAAACTACAGACTGTATCTATCACATATCAGATACCTGCAGATACACTAAATATACATTGCTTAAAAAGTAGGCAGAATTAAGCTTTGTGTTTGCAACCATTTTTAACATTATGGCAAATATCTGAATTTCACAAGTATTTCTGTAAAACTGGTGGTTTACCTTCCTTAGCTGGTTTCTCCTGTGAAAACTTGCTTGGAGTTTCTGCCTTTGGTGGTTGCATTACCTCGTATGTCTGTCTGTGTTTATTCCTCAACTCCTCGTATGTGATGCCTTTTTTTTTACGACTTTCTTCTGGAACTGGAGCAGGTTCTGGACACAAAACAAACAGAAAAATACTAAATATGACATAACACACCAAAATGTAGCTTCTAGAATACCAGTTAATTATTGCTCAATCCCAAATTAATAGGAGCATGACAGCTGCAATTCTAAATACAACATTGAATGTATATGGTCTTCAAGTAATCCATTCCTTTTATCCTTTTAATTTTGCCAAACTTCTTTGAAACACTGGCTGTTAATTATTTTTCTTCATTTTACCATAAGAAATTCTAACAACCACATGGTAGTTGATGGATAAAATAGCTCTGGTCACTTTACCTAAAATTCACATTAATTGTACATTTGAGATATATATAATTTCAGAAGAGAAATCTAAGTGAAGCTCAAGGGTTTGCATTAAGGCTTTAAAGTTTGCTTTCAAAGAATTAGGACAATATGCATCATATGATGCTTGATAAACATTTGATCCTTTTATCTGTATTTATATTGCAGAATCTTTGTTATATAATAAAGGTTTTACCAACTATTGATATTTGTGATGAAATGCAATAACAATTTTCTTGATACATTTATATCTGATATTTTCATATAATTATAACCAAGTTGCATGAAAGGGCTTTTTTAGTGAAATAAAACATTTTTCATAAGTTGAAAAAATCCAAACTAATTCAAAGTACTAAACCCTGAATTTGACAGTATCTTCCTCCTTTGTGTACCAGAGATAGGTGAATTCAGAATCCTATGTTTTCCCTGCAATAGCTGAGGACAGTTCACACTGGAAGGAGGGAAACAGCTGTATTGTACTTGAAAACCATTTTAGTTCTCTGTGAGAAAACCAGACTGCTAGTGGACAGAACACAATATCTATTCAATTCTCAGGAGACAAAAATGTTTTTTCACATTGAGAAAACTTTTTAGAAGTTTAATGTCACGGAGTTACAGGACTATCAGTGCCAGCCCCACAGAGGGTGGAACTGCAACAATCACCTTGGAAGGGCCAGCAGGCAGTGGGAAGGCTGTGCTGTATTCAGTACAGTGAAGGGATGGCACATTCCCCTCTCCTTCAGTCAAAGAGAACTTTCAGTCAGGCTGAGTTTCTTGCAAGTTTAGTTCCACAACAGATTTCACCTTGTAAGTTAATTCAGGATCTTTATTTGCAATTAAAGCAATTTTCAGCTAGAAAACCCTGAATCTAGTTTACAGTTAGAAAACAAAATAAAATTTATATTAATCTTCTGTGTGAAAACAATTATAATTCTTCTACAGCTCTTTCACTCAAAACCACTATATTTTGCCATGTGTTTGCATAGGGTGAGAATGTATAGTTTAGTAAGAGCAGTATCTAAAAGAAAGTCTCTAAGTACTAAGGCTCACCTTGAGCAGAGTAGTCAGTAATTCCTGTAGGTGAAGATTCATTCAAAGAAGCACTGAATGGAACGGGCTCATAATTTGAGAGGGCTCTATCTGTTGAGCTGTAATCATCTAAATAGCTGGAAGAAGGTGGGAATCCAGCATTTGGAGAAGATGACTCAGTGAATGACTGAGAAGGTACGTCTGAAAATTCAGATTTACGACTGGAACGACTGGAAAAGAATAGAACTAAATATTAAATACAAAAATACTGAAGTTAACACTGGAACCATAACAATACTTGCAATTCAAGAAAATGTTCTTTCATTTTAAATAGTTTAGTTTCCAACTGAATCATCATCTTAAAAATTTTTGGGATGTTCTGGGTGTTTTCTTTACACTGCAAAAATTTCTCTCGTTCTTTCCCCACAGAATCTTAGCTCATACCTCCAGAACAGGAGAGAAAAGAGACAAAACATATTGAACTTTACAATAACTGAAGTTACAATCCTTTTTCTCAAGGAATCTTCAGACAAAAACACCCCACATCAGACACAAATAGTACATGGTGTGCCCATGTAACTAGTGGTAGTATACACTACAGTGAATTTTAAAAGCCTTTTAGAAAGAATTTGATATTTTAAACCCTTCATCATTAGAAGGTGCTGTAACTGATCAGGACTGAAGAAGAGCAAACAGCTATCTTAAGAAAATTAAATTATGAAAATTAATCAAGTTGCTGAATTCTGCAAAAATATTAATGAATTTTCTCTTGAGAGAGAAAGATAATATCATATAAAAATATTCTGGAAATTGGTACCAGATATTTTAAAGTGTTCACTATATTCTTAGAATGGCCTTGCAAGCCACTACACAACATGTCCCTCTACCAGGAATGCCACCACTAGAATGCCACTAGAACATCTCTAGAGTATTTATTAATGTTTTAATTTCTGCTCAGCTGTACTTTTAGTTTCCCATGATAAACATTTGCAATTAGTCTTTATTTAATTCTCATAATAAACATTCAGAACAAACCCACTTTATTGTTTCAATTATGCCTTTAAAATACATGCAAACACAGCTTTAAAAAACTACCTGATCTTTTAGCTGCCTACAAGTTTTTAACTCATATCATATTTTGGTAAATCAAATGACCAAAATACATTAATTAGTAGACATACAATGCTCAGGAAGGTGTAATGATTTCTGTTGCAGGGGTTAAAAGGGTTAGCCTGTATGGATAATAATGTAATTGAAATGAATTTAAATTATTTATTCAACCAAGGAAAAGGAATTTATCACTTAGGAAATAAAATTTTACAGATACAAATGGGCCATTAACAGTAGAAGGAATTTATTGGTGTGGCAGATGATGGCACTTAAACAAGCTCTCATGTAAACACAATTAATGAGCATGACAATTTCATATTAGAAACTGGAGGGGGGTGAGCTGATTCTATGCAGTCAGTGTATGAAGTGGTAATGCCTGAAATTGTATGATGTCATAAAACCATAAACATTTCAGAATAAAGGTATATCTTGCAGACAAAATAAAAACTGTCATAAATCTGAATTTATAGTGTATTTAAGAATTTAAGCAAATCCTTTATAAACATTTACCAAATCTCAGCACATACACAGGAGGACTACTACTCACTATCCAAACACTATCCTCCCAGTTTTGAATCAAGGGTTTAAGTGACATATTCTGAAAGCAGCTTGCAATTAAAAACCAGTTGAAGTAGAAAACATTCTGGAAGAAAACAGGAAATAGTTTTAAGAACCTGATGAGTTTCTCATATGTACAGCATAATGGTGTTACAGATGTAAAGGATTTAAACAAACAGCAGTAAGTTTGACCACCATGCTTCTTCCTGCACTGATATTGTTTACTAAGCTCTTTCCTTTGATAAACACTGAAATCATTTCCACCCTTTTCCTACTTCAATCAAACTAAGCTATGGGAAAAAATTCCAGAATGTAACACTATTTTATTTCAGTTAAATTAGTTTACTTTTAAACTAAGGAGACAACTTGTGCTGTCACACTTCTCTAAGCAAATTCCATGGGAAACACTCTCAATTTTACAAGGAACCCAGTTTGCTAAGTAAACTGTTTATTTTTCCACTATTCAAAGTCATCAGTTGTATGTAAAGAGCTCAAAATATGTATTTTATAGCTTGCCAACTGATACAAATACAGATTTCTGAAAGTGGTAGATTTGAGGTAATGGGGAATGAGGGAAGGTGCAGCTCTGACGGTGTTGGAAAGCTGCAATAGTAGTATTGATCTGTTAGTGTTTAAATCACCCTATTCAGAATATGTTTTAAATTTAAAAGATACTTAAACTCTTACTTAGGTGAACTATGTCTCTGAGCTTGTCGCAGAACATCTCCTATTGGGGAATCCTTCAGTTTCTTAAATTTCTCGCTACAGATTGGCAAGTAGGATATCTTTCCAGCCAGGTATCCACACATTCCAGCAACTTTTTAAAAAGAAAAAAAGATGGGTTTAGATGCTGCACTGTAATATCCAACATTGTTTTAAAACAATAATTTCAAATAAATAATATAGTATCTTGAATAAAAGAATGAAAACCAGTTTAGATCTAAACCAAAAACATGCAGAAATCATGTCTGCTTCTTCTGGAGACAAAGGGTACAAAACCAAATGCAACAGCTGAACAGAGACATAAAGCAATGATTTAGACATGGTGTGAGCAACAGATGATTTCAGCTAGTACTTGGTGAATGAAATGTGGCAAAAAAATGAAATTGCATTGTTTTTTCCCAAGATCCAGAAATCACAACTATCAAAGATGATAAACCAATGAGAAATAAATACAGGCAGTACATTCTGCTAATTTAATCCATCAGAACAGTCACATCCTGAAAAGGCTTTACCAGTAATGAAGACAGGTCTAAACCAACTTAGCAGTAGGCTTATTTTCTGTAAAGGATTCTGTTATTTGACTGCCAGGGGGCAAACAACTGAATTAGCTGAACCCTTGTAATGACTAAGCAAATGGTTTCAATTTAGTGCATGAGCTACTTCCACCTGCTGCAAAGAACATAATAAATTACCAAGATAGCTCTTTCTGGGCTTAAAACTTATGATTTCCATCAACTGGCTCCTTCAAGTTTTATGAGTGGGTCAATGGTGTATGAAGGATTCCATGGGAATGAACAGTTTTCTTGTCAACTTCATAGGAGAAAAAGACTAGTCCCTCCTTTCATGTGCAGTGAGTATTTCCTAAATATAAAGACTAAGAGTCTCGATTATCTTTAAGTCGGGAAAGAGTTAATTATCAGGAACGTTAATCCTCTGCAATTCTCAGCTGTAGATTACATTGCCTGGGAACCATTATAAAGGGGATTTTACCCTAGCCTGCTGTGCTGATACTGAAATTTTGTTTCCTGTTCTAATGTCTTATTTTCAGAAGAAGGCTAAAAGTCCTTTTGCAAGGGAACAGAGAAGAACAGCCACAGCTATGAGTGATGTTACAAATGAGGAATGTAAGGGTTGCACTGTTTAGCGGGTTACAAAAACCCAAACACCTCATATGCAATAAATACGTGCAAAGAGAAAAATTACAAGTCTAAGAATAATTCAAACTAAACAGTTAGCAAAATAAAAACAGAAAAGCTGATTACTCTTTTGCATTAATTACAAAGAGAAAGTCTTTTTCTTGAGGCCTTCTAGCAAAGAACAGGGGAAGTATCTCTCTGGAAGATGTTTCACTCAAAGTAATTATTGGCCAAAGTATTTGATTTTTTTATTACAGAACTAAGAGCCAGATGATCCACATTTTTCAAGTTAGCAGAGTAAATTAGGTGTTGTTCTTTGCTTCTACATTCACTGTGACAAGATCTTTGAGAAGCTGATTAGATATGGCCAGGTCCCACTGCAGACTAAATGAAGGACACAGAGGCATTGGAATCTTCCCCTTCTTTGTCAAAGACAGAGAGGACCAAGAGCTCTCTGCTGTGTTGAAGGGAATGCTGCCAATGTAGTAAATCAGCCATGGCTAACTAGAAGTTTCAGAAAATTATTGAGAGTACCTAGAAAACTACTGACAAAAGTACAGTAATTCCTACAGGCAGAACATCCTGGCCAGCCCAGCTGCACCTTATTTTCCCCCCTGATTTCAATAAATTACTTGTATTAAATAAGAAGAATGTGGCCCTTATGTGTAGCAGTGATTGGGGAAATAGCTGTTGTATTATTTATTAGAAATGTTTGTGTTATGCCATTGTTTGGTGTTCAAAGAAAGTAACCAGAATTTAGCATAAACAACTGGAGCCCTAGTCTCACATTCATTTATCTGCTTAAACAACACTTCCTTGACCACAATCATAGGGTTTACCCTCTTCCCACTGAAGTAAACTGGCTGTATCTGCCAGATTGGCAAGATGGCAACTTCCTGTTTTACTGTCCTGTATTACATTGAAAAGACTAATTTATTAAGTTAATAATTTATTTTTGCTTATACTTTATCCAAAAATCATTTCACATGAAATTGCTTTTTTCCTACAATTGTATATACATAATGTCCAGGAAAAAAAAAGTAATTAAACAAGCCTGAATGGGACACGTGAGATCCATGAATAAAGACCTTCAAATTCGGAAGGGAGGGGTGGGTGTGTTCTGGCAATGTAATTTAAAGCAAGGTTGCACAGTGTCTATTTACAACGTTTTTATCTTAAATGATTATGTTACATTTATCAAGCAATTTTATACAAACCTTATAAAGAAAAGTTGTGCAAAATGTGCAGTGCAAATTCAGACAGTGAATAAATCACTGACTCATAAAATGGCTTGGGTTGCAAAGGGACCTTAAAGATCATCTAGTTCCCCTGTGGCATGAGCAGGGATGCCCCCCACTAAACCTGGTTGTTCAGGGCTCATCCAACCTGCCCTTGAACACTTCTAGGAATGAAGCATCCACAACTACTCTGGCAACCTGTCCAGTGCCTCACCACCCTCATAAAGGATTTCTTTCTAACATCTAATCTAAACCTCTCCTTTTAGTTTAAAAGCAGTGGTCACACTGGGCATTAGGAAAAGGCTCTTCACTGGGAGGGCTGTCAGGCACTGGAGCAGGCTCCCCAGGGAAGCAGACACAGCACCAAGGCTGGCAGGCTTCGAGGAGTGTCTGGAAAACACTCTCAGCACATGGTGTGCTTTGAGGTTCTTCTGTCAGGAGCAGGGAGCTCACACTCTGCTCCTTATGGGTCCCTGCCAACTTGAGCCACAGTGAATGAGCCAGCCAGCCCCAGGGGAATTACATCTGCACAGCAGAGTCCAGAACACACAGCACAAACACAGGCTGCATTTATATGTAGCTTTTACTTACATGCGACTTTAATAAAAGAGCCGAATCTTGAGGTATCTCTTAGAACACCTGAAAATGAGGATGAAATCAGATATTAAGATATATGATATTACAAAAGATATGTGTAATCAGATATCAAGAATTAACTTGAAAAAACTCAGCTGTAGCTATGTTTGTAGAAGCAGGTTACTCCTTTACACTTCACATTAAAGAAAATTTTAAAAAAACCCCAGTAATATCTGAATTCTCCATATAATTAAAAAATCTAGGAATTACCTCTTTAATCATATTTAACTACAGGGTTGTTAACACACTAAGAACATATTGTTTCATAAGCAGTGAGATACTGCACTTCTCACACAACATAAAACACATATGAACTTGATTTTAAGTTCAGCTCCTTCTTTATGTTGAGAACTGCAAATCATGTGGCTGCAGAGTCTGAGCTGCATCTTTTATTTGCAAGTAGATTTGACATGATATTATCACAATAACTTTCCTAACAGCAGAAAGATATATCAACTGAGCAAACTGGAATGAAACTGAAGTATTTTTATACTTTACCTTTTCTAATTAAGAAACTAGTACCAAGCATGCTCACTGCAGCCAAAGGGAAAGCTGTGAAGAAGAAAAAAAAACTGCTTAAAATACAATTTTCAATATTTTCAATCACATTTAACAAATATGCAATAAAATGAAAGTTGCTATGCCTTCCAAAGCTCATTTGTGTACGGATATATATATATATCCACCACTGCCCAAGATACAGGGACAATGAAGTAACAAACATAACAGAAGGCTAAAGTTATTTAAAGATTTAGATATGTCATAAAGAAATTTAATTTCATGCAAGTCTGAAAATGCAGATGTTACAAAAAGGCTCAATGACTTCTAGGAGAGAAAGTTTTGCAACAGCACTAGATGGTTGAAGTATTTTGATGCACACAATTTGCTAATTAAGTCCATAGTTGAAGACAAATTGTATTTATGGAGAGAAAAGTATTAAAGAATAGTTTGCAAATTAACATGTAATTCCTTCAAAAATTCTGACAGGTCTAAACCAGGTAAGGAGTCCAACCAGCATCTGTCTCAGGGTAAATGTAACTGGATGTCACTTTAAGAAGAAATGTTGCCTCCTTGGTTCAAAGCAGGATTACAGCAAAACTTCAAAATAGAGAATAAAAACCTCCCAACCTACTAGGTGTTAAAAATCTCATGCTTTTAGAGATTCCAGACTTAGATTTTCAAAAATTTACTGTTCTAGATTTTCTGAGATATAAAATGACAGCACAGATTTGCAACTAAATTGTAAAAGAAAAACAAAAGCAAACAAAGCCAACAACAACAAAACAAAAGCAAACACCCCCCCAACAAAACAAGGGGAGAGAGGGTGTGTAAAGAAAAATACGTTCAAAAATTATTACAGAAGATTTCAGTCCAATCCTTAGACGTTTGAAATTATTTATAGACCTAACAGAAACATTCCAGATATCAAAACCAGGCTATACTAGTATCTGAGCATATAAGTGACCTGAATGGTACCTAAAAAAAAAAAAAAGCTAAATGAAAATTGGATTCATACCTAAAAATCAACGTGAATTATTCAACTGTAGGCAAAAAAAACCCCAAAAAAACAAACTCAATAAATCAGAAACCATCTAATAGGCAAAGAATACTTTTTCTACTCCAGGAACAAAATAAATCTAGGGAAAATAATGGAAGGCTGATATAGCAACAGCACATAAGAATGGTAATATACCAAAGTCAAAATTGTTTGATGGGGAAAAAGTTTTATCGGTATGATTTGATTTTGTTAACGTGATTTTAGTTAGAATTTTTAAGAGTGTAAGAATTTATAGGATAATGTGATTACAAACTAGTAACTCCAGTAAAGCACATATTAAACTGAATTGTGAAATGACTAGTGGCACATGCTGTCAAGAGAAACTATGACAAAACAGACAGTTTGTAAGAATTAGTAAAATTTGCTACAGCTTGAAATTTGAATAAACAAACTGAAAACACACAAATTTATAGTAACCTCAGTGAAAACCAAAAGCTGACACCATTCAAAGTGAGGATTTCAGGGCAGTCACACAAGCACCCTCTTGCAAAGGGGAATTCAAGCAGTATGTGTTTAATACAGTGAATACAACAGTCTGGTATGTGCATGCACAACAGGGAAACCAAGACAGGAGACCCAGAAACAGCCATGGACTTTAGGCTCTCCCAGCCAGGTAACAGCACAGTACCCAACCCCTGAAAAAAAAATCTGTTACTGTTGTAGCTCCCTAAAGAAAAGTGACTCAAGAAACGAACTTAGGGCCTTCAAGCAACACCTACATGCTGTTTCTTCACTGACTAGATAAAGATGCACAGGGCAATGAGCTACATTGGCAAGCAGCACAACAGCTCAGGAACAAACAACTCTCTCTCCAATTTGTGTTCCAAAAGAGAGATTATCAATAAACCACAACCATCATTGTACCACTAATGGACCTGCCTCCTTCACTTATAAAATTATACAGAAAATGTACATTTTAGCAAATATGTTGAAGATTTCCAAGTATTTATGTAAAAGTGAATGAGGAGAATGCCAAACCAATGGAGAAAGACAAAACAGAACTTTGAATCATTAATTCAAAATCACAATGCCTTAGGAGCTGTCCCTGAAAGTACTAGCTTCCACAAGAAATTAGAGCCCCAGTGTGCTAAAATTAGCAAATCAGCTGCTGAATTCTTGATCTGCCCTGGTTTTTGCCAAGCCACCTATCAGCATCAGTAACCTACTAGTGTGTGATAAAACAGCAGGTAACAATCACATCAGAAGGCCTTTTCAAACCTCGAGACCAGGTGTACAAAAATCAAGCATGCCTTGAACCATAGGGTTACAGAAACCATGCACACACAGCAATTTTCTCCAAAAGCTGGACAGAGTGACTACTTGTATATTATTCTCTTTACAAGTCTCTGTAGAGATGAAAACTAATGGTTAGAAGTTAAACTATTTTATTCTTGCATGTTAAAGATAACAATAAAAATTGAAAATAAAAATGCAGAAATAACACAAAAAAGAAAATCCAGTAATATAAACGAGACTCAGTAATTAAATCTATTTTCAGACTTTTAATAACCACATAAACTTAAAATATGAAGATATCTTGTTATAAGGCATGCAACTTAGAAATTATGTTGCACCTTTTACAAAACTGCTGCAAACTCTCAGTAAATACCACATGGATGAGCATTTGCTGGGACACAGTTCTAGTAGGTGTGAAGCTCCTTAATGCTCTGTTGTGCTTTATTGACCCAGGCCCTCTGTAATGCCTCAGGCAACAGCAAAAGCTAAGGGTGAAAGGAAAGCAACCAAGTTTACCAACAAAGTGAGCTCACCTCTATACCGAAAACTCTCTTCAGCACATTCCTTGAGCAGTCTTCTTTCTTCCTCCGTTGGAACATAAGGCTTTGGTACTTCCCTCTTTCATTAGCGAAATAAATTAGAAAAGAATGAAAAATGCCCCCAGACTGTTTTGTCCAATCAAAAAACTTAATGTCTAACTTTCACACCTTGTAGCTTCTATACTTTCACCCATTTAAGAAACTAGTGCTTTTTGTCCATCAATGTCACATGAAATATATAATTTTAAAAAATCCAGTGCTTCTAAAAATTACATGAGAGAGCAGGAAATACTTTGTGCATAGTCAGATCCCAACTCAGCTCAGTCCTTTACTTTAGAAAAGCCTGCTTTGGTCCCTCCAACCAGCCTTCCAAACAGCTGACACCTGACAGATCATTAAGTTCCTTTTTGAAGTATTTCTTAGGGTTTCAAAGACCACAGGGCATGTTGTTGGTTCACAGGGATGTAATTCAGAGCTGACCAGCTGTTTCCCCAGCGTGAGCGAGGTTTGTGCGGGGGTGCTGCTGTCCCCCCTGAGAGCCGGGACACTGGGCACACTGCTGGGCACAGCTGTGGGAAGGACACCAGGGGAACAGAGAATCACAGAATCAGGTGGGTTGGAAATGACTTCTGAGGTCATCTGAACACCACCACACTAAGTGCCATGTCCAGTCTTTCCTTAATCACCACTAGGGACGGTGACTGCAGAACCTCCCAGAGCAGTCCATTCCAATATCTAATGGCCCTTCCTGTGAAGAAATTCCATCTAATGTCTAACCTAAATCTCCCCTGGTGCAGCTCTCTTGTCCTGTCGCTGGTTGCCTGGGAGAAGAGGTCGATCCCTACCTGGTTACAACCTGCTTCAGCCAGTTGTAGATAGACAGTGATAAGGCTGCCCTGAGCCTCCTCTTCTCCAGGATAAACAACCCCAGCTCCCACAGCCACTGCTCGTAAGACGTGTACTCCAGACCCATCACGAGTTGCCGTTCTCTGGACACGCTCCAGCACTTCAGTGCCCTCCTGAGCTGAGTGGCCCAAATCTGAACGCAATACCTGAGGTGTGGCCTCACCAGTGCCGAGTACAGGGGCACGGTGACTTCCCTGGTCCTGCAGGCCACGCTATTCCTGATTCAGGCCAGGATGCCACTGGCACCTGAGCAGCTCGGTGGCTCACGGTCAGGCACGAACACCTCCTCACCTCCCGCCAGGACCCCCGCCCGGCCCCCGAGAGGCCTCAAGGGCATCGGTCCCGCGTGGAGCTCAGGGCAGGGACGGCCGAGCGGCTGACAGGAATCCCCTTTCCCTGCCCTGAGCCCGCCGCCTCGCCCTCCGCCCCCAGCCCCGCCAGGTTTCCCCGCGGCAGCGCCGCCGATCCAGCGCAGTTACCTGGGCCGCGTCGCCGCCGGGGCCGGGGCCGGGTCCCTGCCCGGCCTCCATGGCCGCCGTGACCCGGAACTGCGCTCGGCGCACGCAGGGCGCGGTGCGCATGCGCGGGGACGGGCGAGCCGCGGCGGGGCGGGCTCGGCTCGGCGGGGCGGGCTCGGCGGCGCTGCCCGCGCTGGGCACGGGCCGGGCCCTCAGAGCGGGCAGCGAGAGGCTTCTGTCTGCCCCTGCCCAGCCCCAGCTGTACGTACGGTACCCACGGGCTTGCTAACGACGGATGGCCAGAATGTCCTAAAAGGAAAGGATCTCTGTTGCCTAAAAAAATGGGGTTTTTTTCTGAATCAGGGTCAAGCAAGGGTCTGCTAGGCAGCTCTTGAGCTTGAAAATGGAATTAGTTTGGTGGTTAGGATTGTCTTGGAGTGGGAGACTAAGAAGTTGTGTGCTTGATTCTAGCCAATGCCGTGGAAATGGCAGCTTTAGCAGGTGCTTGCAGTTTTTGAGAAATAAGGAGAAGTTGATGGGAAAAAGTATGGTGTTGATAGTGCAATGTATGCCTTGGCATTTTCTTGTAAACAAGCAGTACTGTGGCTCGAGCTCACTATATGCTGATATGCCCGTGCTTGCGTATGGAATGTACCACTCCCTGTAAGCCTTTCGAGGCTGAAAGAGCAAGCCATTGTCTCTTTGCCCTGGAATTTGGCTTAAATTGCTGCTCTCTGATGGCTGTAGAAAAAAGGGTCCGTGCCTGAAGACAGGAGAATGAAGGTCCTAGAGATTGAAGGTCTGAATTTGGTGGAGAATGTGAACCATGTGCAGGGCCTAGGGCAAATGGACTAATGAAAACTATAGAGGAGATTGGATTCTTGAAACAAAATAGGTGGATAGAACCAGAAACTATGTATAGTGGGGTTCTTTTATTCACACCTCTCATCATACAATAAATATATTTCTAATTTACATGAGATTGGAAGTAAGTGGTGTAATCAGGCAATGTTTATTTCTGCTTGTCACCTGGGCCCTTGCTAATGAAACATTCTCCAATACATGACCATCCACGATGCACATTATTAGTCGGAAGGCAAAAGATGTTTGCCTCATCAGCTCAAGACAGTTTTGTTTATGGGATTATAGCTCATTTATTAAAGCAACTTATTTCATGCCTTTTCCCACTTATCTTTCTATGCAAAGAATACAGTGGGGTTTAAAATCTTTTAACTTTTGTGGGGTAGAACATGCTTATGAATTGCACTTCCTCTAAATAAGGAGCTTCAGTGGGGAGGAAATGGCAATCAGTCTCCTTCGTTGTAGAAAATAATGACTCTGAGCTGCTGTTTTGCTTCTCTATTGTAAAATTGATAGTTATCCATTCAGTTTTCTCACTTCACTGTCTTCATGTTTCTTAGACTTCTAATGGGGAAAAAATTAAAATAATCCAGCAAACTGGTGAGTTTACCATCCATTCAAAAACCTTTCCTAGTACAGCCTGCTTGTGAGATACTTGAAAGCTTCACCAGGCTACATGCATCCATTTGTTGGCTTACAACTTCAGTTGTGGGGCCATGTGCAGCGTATCTACATCCTTGGCACTTCATTCTCTGAACTCAAGACCAGTTTTTGGAGTCATTCTTTGAAAGAAATGTTAACAAGGACACCCTTTCTGACCCTCTGGTGGTTTTTTTACAACTTCCTTTATAATCAAGCTATCTTTCATGCAACTATGAGAACTTCAGTTTACAATTGATGATTGCATCACCAAGTCCTTCTGATAAGCATAAAATGTTGCTCTCTTGCAAGGCTTGAGGCTAGATATTTAACCCCTTTCTTGAATACGATTTTCTCTACTTTCTGCTTTAACAGGTGCCATTATACAATATGCTGATTTTTGTTTATAAATCTATGCACTAGAGTAGTTCTTAAGAGAAAAACTCTCAGAGATCTCGAAATGTTTGTTTTAACAACGTGTTGTTTTAAACACAAAAATAACAGATTATTTGTAATAGCCTAAAGTTATATGTTTTTGGGCCACTTCAGGAGTCAAAATTATTTTTACAAGTATTACAACTCACGTATCTATGCCTCTAAACTATTTATCTTTTATTACTTAGTATCATGTAAGAATGAAGAATATATTTGTAATTCAAAATACTGTAACAAAAAACCTTGATAGTTTGTCTTTAGAAATTGGAACTTATTTCTTGTGAAGGAGATGCCTCGAAAGAAAAATGAAAACTTTGAAACGATGAGATTCTCTTGAAACGAACTGATTACTTAGGTTAACAAGTTGGAAGGTGTGAAAGTCACATGGTTTCTAATTGCAGTACTTTGCAAAGCAGTGGTGAATATTCATAACCCTTGAAGGTGGAGCTCAGAGAATGATTGGGGTGAGCTCTGTGCAGTCTGTCAAGTGGTTTAAAAGTTTATGTTTCTGATGAATTTTTTTTCATCCCCTCATAACAGTCAGTGACAGGTTTTATACAACTCCACTGCAAAGCACAGGTGGCCTAACAAATAAGTTTTACAATACTGTATAAGACATAACTAAAACTATTAGATATATGAAAGAGTTGGAGCAAACACTGATCTGGTAAGGAAAGTCTCCAGAGCTAGTACTGGAAGTGTAGGTGCTCAAGTGCAAAGAACAATGGTGACTTTTTGTTTTTGCTTGGTGCTCTGGACAATATAGTAAAATGCAACAGCTGAGAGGTTCTGGTGACTGCCAAGAGTTAATAGGACTGTATTGGAAAAATCTCTCCCTAATGAGGAAATAACAGTGCCTCATACCAAGAAAAAAGAGCATTGTTGTAACTGCTACAACTGGTGGCAAACAAAGAATCAGTTATTTGCCTGAAGCATTATGGCACATCAGCAAGAACCAAGAGTGGGTGTCTTTGAGGAGCTGATAGTCAAAGCCTCAATTAGTAAGGACTGTACCCACATAGATAATGATTGCCATTAATATTAACTGGTACTGTAATGTATTTTGAAAATTACTTTACGTGTTAACTAATCCTTAGAGCTATTTTGTAAAGCTGGCAGGTAAAGGAGCATTTGGTTCTGAAAGTTACATACTTGCTTCAATCGTCTGAAATGATGCACAACACCAGAAGCAATGAATCCTGTTTGTCATGTTACGTCTTCTGTCACCCATGTTAGGACTGTTTGGTACAATTGTTAAAATTCAATAAAAACTACTCCACAAAATTCTTAAAGCTACGGGGAAGAGTTAACCTCAGCTACGAGGACATCTTTATTTTTTTCCTCTCCTGCTTTCTTTCCCTACTGGCTTCTGCAAGTTGATGTACATCCTGTGTCTTAAGGGTATGCAGCACGTGGATATAAATAGTTAAACATGGAGGGGCTTTTACTGCAACTATAGTATAATTGTACAAAGTGTGGTACAGAACTTTGAACTGCTAATAGAATTTTTTACAGCTGTTGTGCTGGTGCATTTGTTCTTTGTACTTTTCCTTCAGTTCCGGTTTTCTTAGAAATGCCTATTAAAATACAGTACTTGCATGACAGGCTTATGTTTAACAGTGGGAAAATGTTAACTGCAGGATTCTTTCTAATACCGTTTTGCAAATCTTGTGTTATTTTATCACACTTTACATGTATTTATTTTTCTTTCCTTCCCCCCCCACTCCGTTTTTCTTTAAGGCCTGGAAGCTTTGAGGCACTTTAACAGAAAATATAGTTACTTTTTAACCAGTTAAAATGTTGATGTTGGTACTGTTTCTGTTAACGTCAGCTCCCAGATCTTTGCATTGTTTGGAAATACATTGTTACTTCCAACCACTAGTCCTGTTGTATTAGTGAAATCCCGGCTAGACCAGTAGCGGCTCCGTTTTCTGAGGATGATGTGAATTATCGCATTACTCCGCCTCGCTGCCAGTGCATTGCGATAAACCTTGCAGCTTGGCTCCTGCGGGAAGCCCATGAAATCAAGGCGATTATCAATGGCCAGAGCGGTGCCAGTGCTTTATGTGCCGTGCGGGGGTGGCGGC